TGGAATTATTGAATCTTAACAGCTGTTTCAACTAAACAAGTTGGTTCTGTTCTATGATGTTCAATAGCATTAAAGTTACAAGGATTACCAACAGGGTGCAGCATATGACAACAGCTAATTCGCAACCAAAAGGTGAGTGAGTGTAGCGAACGAACTTCATCCTGGAGGCGAGTTAGCGTAGCGAACGAGCTAACCTGAAGGCAAGTGAGCACAGCGAACGAGCTCCAACCTAAAGGTGCGAGTGAGCGTAGCGAACAAACTTCAACCAGGACGTGATTGAGCCATGCGAACGAGATAATCTTGAAAATTAAGAAGTTAAACGGGGCAAAGCCCGCGGGTTACAGCTAGTTGTTTTATATTTTGATTGAGTTTTTGTTAAGTTAGAAATAAACAACCTTTCTTGAGTTCAGTACAATTATTTAATAATTAATTTAATGTTTATTTACTCGTAGGACTAAAACAACGTTACTATATTTTCTTGTTCTATTGTAAATTGTGTTATGGTATTTCAAAATCATGGATTATTTTTATTGTGCTAGTGCATTTTTTGTTAAGATATTTGATCTAAACTCTAATTGCTATTTAAAGATAAGGGTTATATCAAATGGCTATATAAGTATTAGTTTGCAATATTAGATTTTCTACAAAGAAAATTCTAGATGACTTTGGTACATATTTTTTACAAGAACATTCAAACCAGATAGAACATGTTGGTTATTTAGCTAAGAATAAAACTTTTATGATAAAGCGATTTTTAAAAAGCATTTTAAATTATTCATTCTTAAAAGATAAACTATTGAATACAACGTCTCTTCAAGTCGAATTTAGTTTTATGAAGCACGCAGTCTACATGATTTTATCTATTTCTAAGTTAGAAACTTGCACTCCCAAAACGTAACATTAATAAAATTTACTGCCCAAGGAGTTGGAATGTAGACTAATTAGCTAACACGACTCACAAGAACGAACGACGACTGTTGGAGTTCACCATTGCTCTCTGGAGAAGAAACTTTCTGGCGGGCTTAACGCGTTCTGTAAGGACGAAGAAATCGTAAATCACGCAGCGTGTGGTAAAACTGGCACCGTTTATCTAATTAAAATAACGTAAAATGTATAATAAAAATATTTGTATTAAAATATTACTATGCATAGAATTAAAAGAAATATGTTCACTTTATAATTTTATGTATCCTCTTTTACTTGGCAATATATGTACTAATTATTTAAAATACATTTTTCTACAAATCTCCTTAGGAATGGTTATAGTTTTATAGTGTGTAATGCCATATGTATAGCTACAGCTTGTGATGTTAATTTGTAATGTTCAGTATATTTGTTAAAACTAGACATAGGCTATATTCATAAAACCCTTTAGATACGTATGTCATACGCTCTAAACTCATTAAAACTGTCTACGGTTGGTGTTTTAACATGTTAAGACCTGTAAATGGGTTGGATTTTAAAATATATACAAGGAACCCTTTATTGGTGGTTTTGGTATTGATTGAAACGTTATAAAAGAGGTAACGAATTATTTTATTGCACATTAAAGTACTAATACCTACAATTCTAAAATAAAAGATAAGTTATAAAATAAGTTATAACCTAACCTAATCTAACCTAACCTAACCTAACCTAACCTTACCTAAAAATTCTCTCATGATGGTTGGCCTCTGGATCGTTAAAATTTGCAGTAATAAAATTCTGTCTTAGACAGAAGCCAGGTAATATAAACCTTATTAGTGTAAAAATTATCATTGATAGTTTTAGATATTATTAAACACGTCATAAAATGAACTTACATTTGTAGAATGATTTGAAATAACAACTTTTTACCCTTATTTGATAACAATGAACGCCTACAAACAATCAGGATTTTTAACTACTATTATTCAGGATAATTATTCCTACAACAGTAATACGTTTTTGGTTAGCTCATTATGGTAACTCATGGTTAACTTATGGTTAACTCATAATGGTTGCAATTATGGCTTACGATTGCATTATAACATTACCATAATATATATTTAGGCAACTCGTTCATTAAATAGTAAGATAGCAAACTTTGATATCAGAGACAGCCACATCAAAGGCATACGTCAGTGTCGGCTATGACGTCACTACGCTGCCTACATGTCCGTGGTGTGGGGTGATTTACATGGAGATTATGTTGACAATTGAGCTTTGCATGCATGTCTTAGGACTGCGATTGCTATAAAATTACTTCACGCTTGCAGTTTTCAACAGTATTTTTATATTTAACTAGGATTACTTTTACTTAAGCCAATGGTTTAGAGCGTTTTCATTTCATTACTATTTTAAGGTAAGATATAAAGACCTTCCCCTCACTTTTAACATACTGTTGTATTCTAGTTAGAAGTTTTAAAGGTAAAATATTTTATTACTAAGTTGTGTATTACTAAGTGGCCTTCACCTATTGTTTTCTAGCCCAAAACAGTCTCAAGCACTCAACCAAATCCATCCGTTTAATCTCCTCTCTCTTTCAAAACAAAAAATCACAAATACAAAAAAAAATTACCTTCTTATATTTCTTTTTTGCCATGAATATGATAAAATAACAATAAGATTTTACACTAATTGCATTTAAATATTTTATATTGATTCGTTCTGATAGTCATTGATTAAACATCAACCCATATTGAAATGATAACGATAATTGTTAATATTGTTTTGATATCCTTCAATTATTCAATGTAGCTTTGAGTTTTTATCTTCTTACATAATGCTAATTCTTACCTTATTCCATCGAAACACATCAAGTAAGTTTCATTAACGACCGACGGAACATTACTTCTCGAGAGAGTCATTGAAAGTTCCGTGTCGTGTGTTCTGTCTGTTTTACCCACAAGGATGCTTTATTAAAACTTTGTTCATCACATATTACATCAAAGTATTATTTGTCGGGGCCAATGACAATGTAATTTTCTTGGAGACATAAGGTTATTGTTTATTAAAAACTATGGACTTTTACTAATTTTTCTTTGATTAAATTATGTACTAGAGTCTTTGCACAGTAAACTATGATTAAATTGTTTTCTAAATATTATTTTTTATTATGAGTCACACTGACAATCCTTTCAAATGTAATTTAGCTTTGCAGCCTGAGCTTTTTAGTAAAATGAAGGACTAGCCAATCCTGTTAAAGTGTTACACTTACTAATATAAAGATGTCTTCATTAGAGGCCATTTATACTAGTTTTGTACTTTAGCAATATAGAAACAAAACCACTATGAATGTATAATAATCTCGCTTTTTTTTAAATTCACAAATAATATGGGTATATATTAAAATGTTTTGTCTTCTCATGGTTTTAGAAATATTAATCATCATAGAGTATTGTCTCCTGTGTAACGGATCCAGTTAACCAAGTCGATGAGACCCACAGTAATTAGTCAAATGTAGTCTACAGACCCTCCAGGCTTACACTGAAGTCTCGTTAGTGGTCAGTTCTAGGCTATTGTGATCATTCTATGAATAGCCACAACGACACCCTGTCCTTTGTAACACAAGCCTAAAGTTTGTTATACATTTCTTTGTTTTAAACATGTTAATGATTGATACAATTGAAATGGCTTGAAACATATATTACTGGATAGCTTAGAGTATAAATAATTGTGACTTTGGTGGCAGCGTAATGAATTTTCATTATAGAATATTATTTTTACCATACAGGTAATTTGTTTAGATGGATTTATCAGCTGTTTGTTTAGTAGTAATTTCTATTTCGCTATACAATAACCATGTAATGTATCGCTGCTTGGTTAATTAACATAGATATCTAGTTTTAATTTATTTATGAATAAAATTATGAAATAAAGTAGATTTTAATGAATATGGATATGATTTCGGATAAATGGTAACGCAATTTAGCCCAGGTTTAAGGGTAATTTTTCTTAGTTTGACTGGACAAGTACAAGGACATAGAAAAATGAGTTAAGTAACAGTACAAAAGTATTTTTTCAAATTACATAAAATGACCAAATTACTTTGAGGAAGTGTCATATTATTGAATTGAAAAATTCGTGGATAAATGTTTTCAAAGAGTCTGAACTGTCTATGAAAATAGTACTCTATCATTAGGTAAATCGATTTGTTATCGAACTTTAATGATTCGAATTTGTCGCTTATTATTCACGTAAACAGTAAATTATACACGCACTTACAAGTACCAATTGCATATACGAACGATGAGTGTATAACCCAGTACATTACATATGAATATAGTACAGTACTAGGCAAACCAACAACAAGTTAACAGTTATGGATCTTCTGGAGTTGATATACCCTATATTGACCTGCTTACTCAATTGAAGGCGGTAATTAAACATCCTTTGATACACAATGATGGTTCAAACTACTAGTTTGGCAAGTCTCAGCTCTGCCACTGAATAAGCAACATTAATGAATTGGGTAAACGTCTGGTTTGTAAATAGTGTAAATATCTCCTCGACGTGGCTCTCACTAGAAGACACCGACCACATAGAGCCGATTGAAGATCAATTAAAAGCGATACAGAAACTATCTTATCTTCTGGTAGGCATGCAGTTTGCTATTTAATAGCTTATGTTTTGAATTTCCCGTTGCAAATTCTTTATGTCTTCTCTTAAAAATAACTTTCTACCTAATTTTTTTAGGTACAACGTTCTTGGACGCGATAAAGCATAATTACACGTTTACAAACCGACGGCAATTATGTTTATTTCACAAGAATTTGTTCGTATTACTTTAGTTCTCTTTATTTGGAAAATTGTAAAAAAAGAAAAGAAAACAATGGCAGAAACTTGTAATATAGCTTAAAGGGGAAACTCAGAATGTGTAGTGAAGTGAAATAATAAGGTAAAACAACATTATACAGTAGTCACCAATTTAGAAATATAGGCAATTACTACACTTAAATGGTTATAAAGTGTAAAGATATAATTTGGACTTTTCTGAGAGTCGCTGTTTGTTAGTCGTCAAACTACGCTTACCAAGAATATTTAAAAGTGTGCGATAGCAAATGTAACAGCTATTATTGCAACTACTTAAAGGAGATTTCACCAGTTAAACGTATCAGTAAAATGGCAGCAACTATGTACTGGGTTTTGGTGAGTGAATAAATTTGTATTCCGCATTTGTGAATTAGTTACGTAAATGTTGAAACTCCCTTAGTTACACTACAGCTATTATTTGTGAGTTTTATTTAAAAAAATATTTATGATATGGAATATCTGTTAAACTTATAGTAATGGTTCAAAAACACTTACGTGTATTGTTAAATGATATATCTAACAAATTTATCTCTACCAATTTATCTTATACAGTGTGAGACAGACTAAATTGGCAGTTACTGTAAACAATGTATAGCGGTCAAACCGATTGAGGTAGATAACAACTTAAACCCCCCTATTTTAACTCCGTAGAAGTTGGGGAAATTATTTTGAAATATCCCAAACACATAAAAAGGGTATTTTTTGGGGAGTGGGGGTAGTTTTCCGAAACGTTTCAAATTTAAAGGTAGGTTAAGCCCAACTTAATTTTTCAGGTATTTGTTCATTTAGCATTCTGATAAAACATTTGAAACTTATATCGATGCTCATATATAGGGTGTTGCTACAAAAACCAATGTTGCTGTTAGAGATTATAAGCTCATAAGTTTTGGCCGTTATACATTGTGCCCTGTTTATTTTCTTAAACACTTTCTATGATAAATAAACACTTAATCACTATTCTTGTGTCTAATTGTTGTTGTATATAATTACATTTCCCAGGTACAACTTTGAGAATAATCTAAAGTAGTAGCATTAGAATGCAAATAAACAATATTAATAAAAAACTAAATCATAATTATTTTTGTTTATTATTTTGTTTATTGTATATTGTCAGTATTATTTATTTGGCTATATATTGACTTATTGATGCTATATTTTATTTCCTTGGGTGCTGTATATTATCCTGAAATAATACATATTACATATATTTAATTTAAGAGTGTTTGCTAAATTTATTCCTGATCAGATTGTTTTGAATGAGACTTTTATTATCATGCCTGCACAAGGTAACAATACTGTACAATGTATATTTTTTACTTGATTCGTTTATCACAATTGCAATTACGACAAAATTATAGAAATAAATGTACTAAAAGTTGTTAGGAATTCAAAGAATGAAAAGTGTAGTTTGAATGTACGTTACAGTGATAGTTAAGTTTTGCCGTCTATTCCCGGCTCAATTTTTCAAAAATGTCAATTTTTTTAAATAAAATGTCCATGAAAAATAATTGTCAATACACTCGAGACAAAAATGATGCGTTCATTGCCTTAGTGACCACAAGAATACAAAGGGCTGTCTTAAAGTTTAGGAAAATGTTTGAACAAAATGTGAATGCATTTTTGTAATGTTTGTGTACATCGAATATTTAAGCAAACTGATTAAACATGTTTGTTTTCAATGGACCTTTCTTTATCATTGCAAAAGATAAAATTATCAATAGTTTGTAATGAAATAAAATGGTACTGTAAATCCCTAGATAAGAAAATTCGCATTTACAGTTTAAAAACAGTGCGGAAAGCCAACAGATTCTACAGTACAATGTTTACACAAAACAATTCACAGCTACATCAACAAAATTTTGTTGCAGGTTTTGGCACTAGCTGTCGTGGTAGCAGCCGCACCTTCTCCTGATTTTGTATCACTAGTTCCAACCAAAAACAAGCCTTTTAACGAAGACGATCTAAAAAACGTACATTTTGTGGAAATTAATGACGAAGACCTCGACGAATTTTACAATTCACTGGAAGAACGTGAAATACCCAAAACACTTAATAACGCTCCAAAAGCAGTCGAAGAGAAGTGGTTGGAGTTTTTAAAAAGATTTTTTGGTAACCTCATATATTAACCTAAGTTATTGGCCTAGGGGCATATATGACTGCATATGACTGGGCATACAAGCCTGCAGTATAATATGACTTTTTTTAAATAAAACATCTTTAAATAACTTGTTAAATTAAAATATTAATGAGTTTACCCTCTTTTAAAATTTTAAATATTAAAAACTTTAGCCTATTCATATTTTTCGCATACAATTTCATCTAGAACAGCCGCAAAAGTATAGTATCTTCGGAAAATGTTTTAATTACATTACACAAAATAGCAACAGAACAACAAAGTTGAAACTGCATTTATTACATTAGGTTACAATGTTGAAATACTTGTTATTTACATGATGTTGACATGATCAAGGTTTGTTTTAATTTATTAAATAAAATATACAATGTGTCTTTGAATAGAGTTTTCCTTATTACCATCCCTCAACTTAATGGTTATACTTACTTGATACTTGATGATGTCCCACTAGCATCGCTCCTGCGACGTGGAAGTCAAATGGGTAGAAAAACAATAATAGGCCTAATTGAACAGATCTTCTACTTTAAAATAGGACGCTTCACATAAATATTCCTTTAACATCTTCTTAAATTTATTGAAATTTTGCTCTTGGATAATGTTCCTTGGTTATAACATGACGTTTTCTTACACTACTATATTTCTAGAATTTCTTATGTAATAATTTGCTAATGAGGTATTTTAAGACTCATAAGCCTTGATGAGGGTTTGGTTAATTTATTTTATGCACATTAACTTGAAATAAGTTTTACATTTTAGTCATACAATTTGTTTACGTGTTTTCTAAAAAGTGTTTTTTCTCATTTCGTACGTTGATTGTGCATGAGAAACATGATATTCTTTTTGTGAAATCAAACGTCATATTTGTCTATATTCAATTCAAGTTTGTCAGTTTTTTAAAAAACCTAACGTACTCTTATAGTTACCAAAGTAGCCTTTCTAGGAAGTTGATTCTTTTTCAAACATCACCATCATACAATTATTATGCTAAGTTATTAGGTCGAGAATAACATTTAGGTTATACGTAAAAGTCTGACCTAATCACAAAAGATGTATGTTTTTAAAAGTTTTGAAAAAAATCGGTTTAAACGTTTATTTACTCTTTTTCTCTTTACAAACAAATTTTTCAAACTTATAATATCAATACAAATGTAGTATAAGCAAACAAGTTACAATGTAAGAAGGCTTGTAAGTTAAACGTGTGCAAATCCCAGTCTGTCTCCACATTGTCGTACTCCAACACCTGTGAATTCTCACCACCTACTCAAGGAAAGATCCACAACTTATGCACAAACTGGCTTCCTGTGGTATTTATTCTTTAGCAAGTAATTTACATAAATCTCAAATGTTTTCCACATTATTAATCGGATTAGTTTTTTAAACTAAACAATAAAGGATATCAAATATTTATATAAGAAAACCCTAAATATGTTTTGCTGTATAGTGAATTCTGTAAAGTTCTTGAATTCCTTTTCCCTGAACTTGTATAGCAAATGCATCAGCATAGTTGACAGTTTTTGTCGTAAATGTTTTTTGGACAAGTAAAGTGTGATTTAAACAGATTTTGATCTAGCTAATGCAATGTTTTGTTAGTTTGGCACAATAGACTTTTGACTTGTAACGATTTTGTTTTATGTAGTTTAATATTCTACAATTCGAAATAAACTAAATAGCATCTAAACTATATTAACACAGCGATAAGTCTTTCTCTTGAATTGCAGTAAACAGTTATTTTATCACCTGGCAATATTTATTAAATACTTGTAAAAAATGTTGATTAGTTGAAATTAACGATTTTTTTTTAATTATTCACGGTTATGATGCTGAAACAATTAATAGAAATTAAGAATGACTTCTTAATTAAAAACATAGTACGAACACATAAATAGAAATAATTTCAAACCTAAACAATATACGCTATTCAACAATGGTTGTGGGCTCGTACCGAATTAAAGTAAACATATATAAAAGTAACAGTTAATATACCAACTATCCCACGAACCACAATATATGTTAAAATAAAAATTTTTATTCATTCATTATTATAGCTCCATGTTAGATTGAATGGAAAATTCCAATTTTATAATAGGCTTACTAAAGTTTACGAAGTTTACTTATAGTAAAATTCGAACGGCCATAGAACATGTAGGGAATATTTGTTTGATGACTTCTACTTAGCACAAAAATAAATTTGAAAACAATATGTACTCTAATTCATAATACAAAAAGTATATTTTGATGGAAATACCACAAGTAAACATATTTTATATTTCACGCACTGGTGAAGAATGTACTAAGGAAAACAAAAATAACATTAAAGCCAACACAAAATGTTAACCAACTCAAAGTTTTCTCCATGAATATTATATCTACTTGGAATGAACAAGTTTACAAGTTAGCGTGTGGCGTGTCTTCCTTTGAAACTGATACCAAAACTTGTTTAGTTTTATATCAAGTTATGGAGGCGCCTGAGTTATAGAATATTTAATATATTCTACGGGTAAAATGTTTTACGTACATGAGTTCAAATGTTGTTAATATTTACCGTAGTAAAAATTATATTTCAGTTAGTGATTAATTATAAGCTTAAAACAGTGTAGAGTGACTGGCGGTTTGTATGATACCAATAAAATATTTTAAAAATAATGTAAATTAATTTTCTCCTTAATTCCAACACCATTTAGCTGTCTTTATTATCATTTTTATGCTATTGACAAAATAAACATACTATTTTTGTCCGTAACGAACCTTTACAGGCTGCCATACCTATTCTACAATTATTATAGAATTAGCATTATAATTGCTGTTGAAATATGCATAGGTTCCCCATTTCCATCAAAGACATTTGTAATAGTTATAGTGTTGGTTTCATAGTTGCAGAGGATAAGATGTGAACGAAATGTATTATTGTAAATTATATAAATACCGTTTACTAAACCATTTTCAGCGTGCAATTGGATGGTATAAAATGGCCAACTAATTGTACTATTGTCGTATTTTTTAAATGATTAAATCCGTTGGGGAAGTTGCTCTTTAGAAAATATATTTATTTTTATTCATCTATATTTTCTTTTAATGTTCTTATTAAAGGTCAAATGATCCTAAGATATTAATATATTTTGTGTCAAGCAAATTTGCCATTTTTAGAGCCTTAAATAAATGTCATGTAGCAATACTCTTAAGCCAAAGATTTTCTAACAAAGTTAAGATGAATGCCAACATTGGTGGGATATATGCATTTATACGAAACTGCATGCTCTTACTATTTCAATTCAATATATTAGACGGATCATAGAAAATGGAAACTAATAGAACGTATGTCTGGTGTTTTTTTTTCCTTTAGAAAAGCCAATAAAGATAAACAAATATAAAATGTTTAAGAAATAGATAATCTTGTCGAACTCACCTGAGCAACATAGCAATATAAGGTGAGTGAGCGTAGCGAACGAACTTCAACCTGGAGGCGAGTGAGCGTAGCGAACGAGCTAACCTGGAGGCGAGTTAGCGTAGCGAACGAGCTCCAACCTAAAGGCAAGTGAGCGCAGCGAACGAGCTCCAACCCAAAGGTGAGTGAGCGTAGCAAACGAACTTCAACCAGGACGTGATTGAGCGATGCGAACGAGATCATCTTGAAAATTAAACGTAACGGTACTTTCTTTCCATCGGTCTGTCTTAGGGGAAACCTATAACTTAGGCGATACGAAGTTCGCCGGGTCAGCTAGTAGCAATATATTTTGCTTATTTTGCTTGTGAAATTTGTTGCACAGAATCATGTATATTTTGAATTGTCCATGTATAAAATGGCAATTTTGCCGTTGAAAAAATGAAATGAAATATAATAACCAATTTATTTCCAACTAAAATTACTGATTTATCCAATAAGTTTACTATTTTATATTTAAATATATCTAATGTGAATTTATTAACGTAGGCACAGTGCTTCCAAAATTTTTATGTAATTTTTAAATACATTCCTTAACTTGGTTATAAGCCCCTCTGAAAGACGATTTGCCAAGTAAGCAATTTCTCATGGCAGAGAAATAAACTCACATATTTCCCTGGAATGTTTATAGCGTGGGATTATATTCATGATAAGAATAATTATTTTTTTTACATACACTGTTTCCTAAACACAAGTTGGGAAACGTAATGCCTTGTTACTTAGGCATTAATCGTGTTAAAATTAACCTTAAGAGTTCTGCAAATAAGTATTCTATAATGTAAGAAACTAACATTAAATTCTGCAAATCCTTGAGTAAAGACGTTTAGCTAGTAGGATTTGTTTACTGTAACCTCATCTTCTAAAATCTAAACTTCGATAAGATACAAAATATTGAACTACCAAAATTATTATTTTAAACACGTAATTCCACAAGTATCTTTTAACCACGACTTAACCACGAGTGGTGATTTGGTGAGATTCGTCCATGAATATAAATCAACCTAAGCCCAAGATCGCTGGATACGTGATGAATACCAACACTAGTTGGATCGGGACAGAGCTTCAATACAGGCAGAGTCACACACAGTGGTGTATTTGTGTGGGTACGTGTTTATGTGTACCCAAGGCTTTTGGAAAATAGTTGTTGACATTATGTAGTAAGAAGACTACAATTAAACTAAACAAATCTAAGAAAACCACTATTCCTTAAATTTCCATTTTTTTCAACTAAGTAAATAGCCGGAGTATGAAGTATCAGTCCTTGAAAAGATTCATGCCTTTACATGGACTAATTGCCGATTATCATATAGAGATAACAACAGGGCATATTTTAAATAAAAATGAATGTAAGGAATTATCTTAGAATGGAGTGAGACGCCTTGGCTGAGTTACATTCTAAGACCCGTAGTTTCTTTAGTAAGAGCTGTTTATGAGCCTATGTAGTTCCTAACCATAAAAAAAATTTAGGCTCTTATTGTATTGAACCTAAAAGTAAACTTGTTACGTGTCCATTGGTGCATATCAGCGGAAGTGTAACTTAGACTTATATTTTAGGTTACACTTGAAAACATATGCTTAGTACCGTATACGTTTTTACCTGCAAAAGTCACAAAACACGTTTTACTTTAGTAATGCAGTAAAACACTAAGAAAGTAATAAAGGAAGGCAAGAAAGTAAACACAAACGGATGAAAATAAAAGTAGGCTAGTAAGATATTTGTGTGCAAATCCCATCCGGAGCTCACATTGTCGTATGCCAACACCTGTACATTCTCACCTGAAACCAGCACGCCTGCAAATAAAATATTAGTTCATTGAATTTATAAGCTTGATATATTATCTAATTGAGCTGAAATTCTACACAAGGATTGTTATAAGGATTCTAGACTATCAGGAAAATTTCATTTTATTAGCTGTTTATTAAGAATGTGAAATAATCACT